ATTCTATTCTATTCTATTCTATTCTATTCTATTCTATTCTATTCTATTCTATTCTATTCTATTCTATTCTATTCCATTCAATTCTATTCTATTCTATTCTATTCTATTACCCCTTCAGTCAAACATAATGATGATTCTCAAAAACTATAATGTACAACAACTGATTATTAAAAATTATTTATTTACGCCCCAAGAATGTTTAGTTCTCAGGCATTTTATTCTTTTCAAATAAAGATAAAAACAAAGATAAAAATGTGGCCTTGAAAGTGAATAAGTAATTAAATAAATAAACCAGGTAACGGCAGGTGGAAGAAGCAGCAGCGTCCAAAATACATCAGAAACTCACCCAAATGAGCCAAATCTGTGAGATTCTGCATATTATACTGGATTCCATTTTGTGTCAAATCCGTGATTTTTGCATTGTGGAAATCATAAGGCCCTACGTATCTCAGTACTGTATTTATTTACTTTTTTACACACCTGGGAAATTTTTCCGCGTACCCCCTGTAATATGCACCTCTGGTTGGGAACCACTGCTTTAAACTATAACTCAGAGATGTTAAAAGTGTTCACCTGGTAGAATCTCTCTCCTTTAACCTCGTTGGCGTCTCTCTCTCCGGCTCCGAGCCTTTTCACCGGGTTTCTCTTCAGCAGCTACAAATGCAGAAAAGATTCTTGTTTCTGCCTACTTATGTTTTAGACTCCAGTGAGTTATTAAAAAATACATTTGGGTTTTATTTCTGAACCCGGGTGTGGTGGAAATCGCCTCGTTACCTTCTGCATGATGGACATGGCGTCAGGAGGAATGTTTGTCGGATACTGCACGTCGTCGTTGACGATGCTGTCGAACACCTCCTCCTCATCTTCACCGGGGAACGGAGACTGAGAGGAATTTTTACATGTTGTTAGTTGAGGTATATAAAGTGCCTGTGACAGGCCTGTCCTTCAAATACAAAAAGTCAAAGTAAGCATCTTTATACTTAAGAAAATTGGCATAGTGCACATGATTTTCTTTTAAATTTGGCTCAGCCAAAGTGAAACAGGAAGTGACATCAAAGGGGAACTCATTAATAAAATAATCTTGCTGGTCTCCGTTTATCAAAACAAAATTATTTAAACGTTAACTCTTGTCTCTCCTTGATAGTGACTAAAAATAATTAAAGAAACATCAGATTGTTCTCTACAGTCTGTGTTGTTAGCTTTTGTAACAAAGCTCTGTTTACATGCTGACATTCCCCTTTGACATCACTTCCTGTTTCTTCACATGCCAATATCTCAACAACCGTTCATCTGAGCAATGTGAAATTTGTTTTGCAACATGCTATTAATGTTATCTTTACAATTAATGTTTAATACAAAAATTTGATGTCACAGGCACTTTAAAGCTAAATGCTAATTAACAAGTTCAACCAACCTCTCCGACGAGCATCTCGTAGATGAGGACCCCCAACCCCCACCAGTCCACGGCTCGGGTGTAGTTGTCGTCTGTCAGGACCTCGGGGGCCAGGAACTCCGGGGTCCCGCAGAAAGTGGAGGTGCGATCTCCGTGACCCATCCCTGCATTACGATAAGTGATGATCACATAAAACCCTAACGAATCTTGTTTTTTAATCAGGTTTTACCTTCTTTGCAAAGTCCAAAGTCTGTAATTTTCACGAATCCGTCCGCGTCCATCAGCAGATTGTCCAGCTTCAGATCTCTGCAGGAAACAGATGGTGAACAGTGAAAACTTCACGGCCGAGTCAACGCGACGCCGCTTCGGTTCGTCTGACGTACCGATAGATGATTTTATTCAGATGCAGGAACTCTAAACCCAGCAGGACGCACGCCGAATAAAACCTGCAACAATTGAAATAAATAAATAAAAGATCAAGCCCGACGAATCAGAAAATGTAGCAGAGCGCGGCGGACGCACCTGGTCTGAGCCTCGGAGAAGACGTCGCTGTGGATGTGGATCATCAGGTCGCCGCCGGGCAGATACTCCATGACGAAGCAGACGTGGTCGCTGGTCTGGAAGCAGCCGTGCAGGTTGACCAGGAACGGGTGTCGGGAGGCGTTGATCATCTCGAAGATCCTCTTTTCGCTCATGAGGCTGCAGAAAATGTATTTTACTTTTTACCTTTAAATTTATTTATACTTTTTAGTTTTAGAGCGTCACACACCTGTCCACCTCATCTCGAGTCACAATGTCTCTTTTCTTCAAGGCTTTAATGGCGTACAGTCGTCCCGTCGTCTTAAACTCTGCTAGAAGCACCTAAATTAAAACAAACAAACATAAATAACCAAGTGAGAGCAAACGAGAGGTCATTTAGATCTGTTTAGGAAGAAAACCTGTCACCTTTCCAAAGTGTCCTCGTCCCAGAACAGAAATAAGTTTGAAATCCTCCACTTGCATCCTGAAGAGGAAACAAATCAAAACAAAAAATAATTATAATAATTCTTCAGTTTTAAACACTAAGAAACAACTTTAGTTTTGGTCTGTTTGGGTGTACTTTAAAACAGACACGGGCTGATCTTCACAATCTTTCACAGAGCTGATCGACACCTGCGAACAAAGAAAACATTTGAGTTAACTAAGCTTTAATCGTTGTGGATAATTGTTTAATTAATCATTAAAGGAGACCAATTATGGGTCCTAGAAATGTTTATGGTATGTCTGTGGGCTATCCAGACCATGTTCATTCAATTTAATGCATAAAATAATTCTCAGGTAATAAAACTTCCCATTTTCTAGTTCTGCCTGCTCTGACTTCCGTTCAGAAGAGCTGTTTATGTTAATGAGCTCTGTTGGTAACGCCCTCCAAAAATCTGTTGACATTAACTCCGCCCTCCAAAGCCAGGGTTTACGTTAGCATGGCTAATAATAGCAGAAGCTCCGTTGTACAACCATGAGACCCAGAGGCAGAGTCGTGGTCGCAGCTTCTTTTTTTCCTCCCTCCTCTGCTCTGTCCTCACTCTGCATGCTGTTACCAGAGCAGGAAGCAGCAGCGGTCAAAATACCTCAGAAACTCAAACAAATAAGCTTTAACAAGGCTTTAATAAGCTAAACAATAGAGCTACATGAGAAAATGTGTTCATAACGAACGAAAATAAAAAATTAAAATTGTACATGTCCATGCTGGTCTCAAACCCTGGTCTCCCGCTCTCTGGTCCAACACTCTACCCATTGCCCTATTGGAGGCTTGTTGTGAAATGAGCTGCACATTACACAACAACACGGTGACGGATTTTTATACTGAGGAGGAGGAGTCTCACCCGGGAGTTGCTAGGTAACGGGCTGAACGCAGGTTCCGGCGGGTTGTCGTACGACTTGTGACATCACAAAATGACGGAAGTATAAAACTTGTCGTTAATATACATTAAAAATACATTTACTTACAGTAAATATGCCCCTGGGTGCATTTTTTTGGTCCTAGGACTGTTGTTTTAAGAAGTACATACCCAAAGTTGAGTAAAAAAAAACCTTTAAAAAGTGAATTTAGCATAATAGGTCCCCTTTAATAAACAGGTAACTAATCCTCGTTCATGCACCAGTTTTTCTGGCGGCGCAGGCACGGATGAGTTTTGTTGATCTGTAGCGATGAAGTTGGAGGTTTTTCCCTCCTGGTTGATGCTGTCGGGCGGCGGCTGATCCTCTGCGACGCTGAGTTTGATCACTGGAGGTTTGCTGGAAGAAACAAAACCAAAATTAAACTTTAAATACTAACAGAGACATATTTACTCTGCTGTAAAAACCACTTGTGATATTTCACTAAATCAGCTCCTAGAGGCGAGTTACGGTTTGTTACGGTTCGAGTGAAACGGGTGATTGACAGGAGGTATGGGATAAATCTTGTGCCAGCAGGAATTGAATTTGAATTCACTAAATTGAAACTGAATTTATCTGAATTAATTTGCTTTGAAACTGTATTTTGGTTTATTAAAAATTCAATTTGACTACTTTCACTTTCAGTTCCATACAGTGGTTTGCAAAAGTATTCATACCCCTTGAACTTTTCCATATTTTGTCACATTACAACCACAAACATAAATATATTTCACTGGAATT